TAGATTCATGCTCCCAGAAAGGATAATAACCCCACCCCCGAATTGGGAAAATACAAAGCATAGATTCAGAATGGGATCATCTGGTTACAAGGATGTCCTGACTCAGGAACTCGTGGCCTTGCCCGCTAACGAAGCAGGACAAGATAGAATAAAAGATCTTGTACCCGTGCCAAAGCAACTTCAAAAAGACCTCTTTGTAGTTTTTCCTTAAAAAGTCTACCCTACAGAGGAGCGACAACTCCTCTCTACCTCACTGCAACGGGGATGGAGATGAGTTCCAAACATGTTTGTATTATGCTGATTAAACCTTGCTTATTAACATTTGGACCTCTCTGGTGGTCTCTCTCTGGGGAATGTAATCTGGGGATTGTAATCTGGGGAAAGTAATGTTTTTCCTTTCTTTATGTCTTCTATTATAATGATAATGATGGGGCTTTCAGCTAATAATAACTTGGTGTTTCTTATGCCTCAAGTAAGCTAATGTAGTAGTGATTGACTTTCTCATATTGCATAAAGTCTTGAAGATTTTGTCTTAGGGAGAGATGGGTAGTAACATTCCTCAGGTTTTTTCTTCTACAGCTCTCAGGCTTGTGTAATCTGCCCCAATTTCCCACAGCCTTGGGAACCATGCTGTGGTAATTTGGCCACTGCTTTTATATGTCTTTTGCAACCCAAAAAAATTTGGGTATGGAGTTTTTCTGATTTTTATAGATGGGGTGTTTTGTTTGGTTTTCTTTTGTAATTTTCTGTTTGTTTTTGAGACAGTGTCTTAATATGTAGCTCTACTGGCTATATAAACCAGACTAGCCCCAAGTTCATTGAGACCTTCTTGCCTCTACCTCCCAAAAGGTTGGATTAAAGATCATTGACCACATAGTTTCACATATTGGATCATAGGTAAGAGTTCTTTATGTTGAGTTAGTGATTTCCCCATCCTCTTTATTAACAGTTGAGTCTGAGGGTTTTCTTCTATCATTTTTACTGTCTTCTGTTCCTGCTCACCATCTGATTCTTCACATGAATTCTTAGTTTAGGGATCCCAGGAAGCAATCTTTAGCACAGATCTAACTTGTACTCTCTTTGCCTTTCCCTTTGTCCTAAATCATAAGAAATGGGAAGGCAGCACCTCTTTCTCCTCTTATCCTACGTCCCTTTTCCATTGTAATTACTCATTTATATAGACAAGCTCCTCTGGAACAATTATCTTGGCCTCAAATGAATTTATTGTGGACAGGCAACATCTATGTCAGCTTTCTGATACTCTTTTCCCTTATATATGACACTCTGATACTTTAAAATTTGCTCTAAATCTTTAACTCTTTTAAGGACATCTTTATAATAGTGGAGCAGATCTCATTAACCAAACAAGTGTGCCACTTTATACCACAAAGAAGAAGACTACGATGTAGGAATTACTACCACCCAACATTCTACCCAACAACTCGGTCTTAGTTAGATGTCTCACTACATGTAGCAAGGCTCATGCAACTCTTGCCATATCAAGAAGTGCACTATCAAATACCACACGTGGAAAGTTGGCTATATTAGGTTTTCTCCCCAAAACACTTCATCCTCAGATGGCTCAGCCTCATTTGCATGTCTCAGCATCCATTGTGTGGGTGAACTAATAGGTTTGGATAAATGCTATATGAGATAAATAAATAAATATTATATGAAATAAATAAGCCTAATGCCTTTCATGAATACTCTGTGAGAGAAATTGAAATCATTTTACTTATCTTCTCCATATAACTTTAATCTGAGTGTCCATATATATTTATATGTATTTATTTGTATATGTATATATAAATACATGTTGGACAACACTATACAGGACAAGATAGTGTAAAAGCAAAGAGTAGGAATTGTTAGATGGCAGTTACCCACGGTGTTCTCTCATTTCTATATATCATCCTTGTAAAGAAAAGGCGGCTTCTGTCCCAGATAAGCCCTTCAATGGCTATATATTAAGCCTGGGAACACAGGGGTGATTTATCCTTTTGACTCAGATGTCAGTTGTTTCTTTCAAGTTTAATAAAGATAATGTTTCTGTTGGGAAAAGATTAAGAAAGCCTGCTTGTAGTTCATTATGAAAGCTTCCATCTCACTAAGCCTAGATTGAGTAACTCCTGCAGTTATATAACTCTCATTGAATTGCCTCTTCCTCTCTGAAATGCTACTATAGGACTGGAGGTAGAAACAGGAAGCACAAGTCAATTATAAGACCAAGAATAATCCATTTCTTTACTAGGTACCTAGGAGACAGACTTGTTAGTTTGCCTGTAGAGTAAAACCACTGTTGGGTGACACTATTGCTGGTGAGACATGAACAAATGTCTATTCACTCCATATCGGGCACTAACAACGGACCAAAGCGAGAATACCAACAATGTCTTACTTGTGAACTCATAGGTTTTACAAAGGTTACTTATAAGAATACAGTTGAGGGATTACTTGGGGAGAAGAAATGACTCAAAGACAGCTGCAGAACCAAAAGTTCTCCCCAATGTGGATGACAGCCTCTGAAAACTGAAACACTCCACAATTTGCAATCAGCTCTGCAGTTTGGAGAGTGTCTCTTACAGGCAGGCACATGGGCTGTGTCTTCCCAGTAGCTTCCTGATTTCTGCTTCTTTCAGCTGGTCCTGGTGGTTTCCATGTCTTCCACAAGACTCAGGTGGTCAAGACACTTTTAAGTAGCTCAGTTTATCTGAGAACATCTTGCCTTTTTTTCTTTTCTGAGTTCATATGTTTAGAAAAAGGGAATCTGTTCAGTTTCAGGGACTTTCTGAAGCCTTTGAGATGTTTAGCTCCTGAGTAAAAGGAACTTGCCTATAGTATGGAATGTTCAGTAATGTTTTAAAAGGCTCTGTACCTTTAACAGCAACAACAACAAAAAAAAACCAACTATATTTTCTCATTTTACATACCAATCCCAGTTCCCACTCTCTCCCCTCCTCCTGCTCCCTGCACCTCCCACCAACCCCACTTCCCATCTACTCATCAGAGAGGGCAAGTCTTCCCCTGGGGAGTCAAGAGTGTCAACACATTGCTTTGAGGCAGGAACAATCTAGGCTGAGCAAGGTATCCTTCCAAAGAGAATGGGTTCCAAAAAACAATTTAAGCAGGAGGGATAAATCCTGGTTTCAATGCCAGTGGCCCCACAATCTGACCAGCCATATAACTGTCACCCACATTCAGTGGGCCTGGTTTGCTTCTATGCTGGTTCCCTCACTGTCAGAGCAGAGTTGGTGGGCTCCTATTAGCTCAGGCAAACTGTTTCTTTGGGTATCCCATCATGATCTTGACCTCATTACTCATATTCTTACTCTTTGCAGTCTTCAGCTGAACTTTGGGCTTAGTACACTGCTCCTCTGTGGATCTCTGTATCTGCTTCCATCAGTTGCTGGATGAAGGTTCTATGATGACATTTAAGACAGACATCAATCTGATTACTGGGCAAGGGCAGTTTGGGCATCCTTTCCTTTATTGCTTAGGGTCTTAGCTGGGGCCATCCTTGTGGGTTCCTGGGAATTTCTCTAGTGCCAGGTTTCTTGCTAGTTCCATGATGATTCCCTACTTCTCTGTCCTCCTTCATCTCAACCATCTGTTCCTTCAAGTTCCCCTTGCCCCTCCTTTTCTCCATCCTCCTTTCTTTCTTCCCTCCCTTTTCCCTCCAACCCCCATGTTCCCAATTTTCTCAGGGGTCTTGTCTATTTCCCCTTCCCAGGGATATCTATGTATGTTTATGTTAGGGTTTTCCTTGTTACTTAGCTTCTCTTGAAGTCCCTGTGTCTTAATAAAGTTCTATGCAAGGTATATGGTTTTATACTGAAGAAAACTGTTGCACAACAACTACCTATCTTTCATAATCTGAACAGCCACCTTGCTACAATTATCTCTGCTACTTTAGTCTTATCTCTTCTACAAGACTAATATGTCCCACCCCGTTCCTTTTTCTGATCTTTATACAAATCCTATTTTAGTACTATCTAAAATAATCATTTTCTGATTCTCTTTTCTTTCTAACCTTTCTACATCTGAAGAAAAGAACTATACCCTGTTCATCTTTGAAATCCTGAATACTAGTAACAGGTATATGATTCATGGATATGTTGGAATAGGGTATTTCATATAGACAAATCAAGCTTTTCAGGTAGTTAACCTTTGGGTATGGTAGATGCTCTATCAGTTTTTTAGGGAAGGATAAGACTGTAAAATACTTTTGTCTAAACATACACCCGCCATCATGACACACTTTGGCATAAATTCTCAACTATTCCTTGTTCTCCCTGGTAGCTGAGTCTGATTGTTTGCTCCCCAGCAACAGGCTCTGCTATCGTTAAATATTTTCCATACATCTTTGTCTACAATTTAGAGAAATTTCAGACCTGAAGTCATCATTTCTTACAAATAAACCCCACATAATCTTTTTCAATTCTTAAATGTTCCTACATAGAGAATTAGAAGCATTTTAGTTTCTAAGCATAACTATTGATTTCCTGCAACTTTCAAAAAAACTTTTCTTCTTTATTCTTCCCATGATTCTCAGTTCTCTCAAAACCCTGTTCTGCTTAATGGTAATGTGTAGACTTAAATGGTAGATGCTGGATGATACAACTGTGGTTCTTACCAGTAGAATGTGGTGTCATTTTTTAGAGTAGCGTTAAGTGTAAACGAATTTTTATTGAAAGAAATTTAGAGATAGAATGAAGTAGGAAATGTTATCTGTCTAAGAGAAATAAAAGTTCCCTGTGTGCAGCAAGCATAGACTTAGCATAACTATTGTAGTTGGCATGCATTAAAAAGTTTCTTTCCATCAAAATGAATAAATATATTTGAAATGGCTTCCCAGTCTCACCCACATACTCTCAAGAAAAAACATAGGGTATAAAATTCTGAAGATTCTACTGTCCATTACTATAAAGAGACTTGGTATATACAGGAAACAGATTTTTAAATATATAGGAGTAGATACTATTAAAATGAAGTAAAAATTCTCATATTCTATGAAATTTATTGATAAATGGTGATTAAAGTCACTATACAGCACTGTATGGGATGGAGTCAGAGCCTCTTCTTACAAGCTGACTGCTCAGAATCATTTGGAATGGTAACCATACTCTATGCCTACTATCTGACCTTTCTGTATAATCTGAGACAGTGAATAAGTCCTGATACAATATATACGGAAGTTTCTGTCCTGTCCAGTTCTGCAGTCATTGAGTCCTAAAAAAAACACAGAGAGGCTTATATTATTTATAAACTGGTTGGTCTATTAGCTCTGGCTTATTATTAGCTAGCCCTTACAACTTAAATTAACCCATAATTCTTATCTATGTTTAGCCACATACCTTGGTACCTTTTCTCAGTGCAGAATTTTCATCTTGTTTCTTCTCCATCTGTCTCGTGACTGCAGACAGAGCCTTTCCTCTTTCCAGAATTCTCCTATGTAGTGAGGAGGCTGCTTGTTGGTTCCTGACTACTCATCCCCAAAATAATCATACAGAAACAATATTATTTAAATCACTGCTTAGCCCATTAGCTGTAGCTTCTTACTGGCTGACTCTTATATCTTAATTTAACCCATTAATCTGTGCATCACCATGAGGTTGTGGCCTACCAGCAAAGTTTCAGCACTATGTCTCCTGGAGTGCTACACGGCTTTTCTCTAACTCCACCTCCTTTCTCCCAGCATTCAGCTTAGTTTTCTCCATCTGCCTCTAAGTTCTGCCCTATCAACAGGCCAACCAGTTTCTTTGTTCATTGATAGTAATCACGGCATACAGAGGGGAATCCCACATCACTCTTAGTGTGTTTGCCCCACCTTTAGTTTTTGACTGACTACTGGCCAATCAGCAGTTTTTAAACTAATACAAGTGGCATATCTTTACAGGGTACTAGGGCATTATCCCACAGCAATGCAATGTCTTGATACCCTCCATATAGGAGGGTCTGAAATGGATTGTTGGGGAATATTATTTTAAGGTGTGTTACTTTTGTTTATGTTGCATTTGTTTAACTCTGTGAAGCTGTATTACTGTGCCTGTTTAAAACCCCTGATGGTCTTATGAAGTGCTGAAAGGACAATAGTGAAGCAGGAGATAGGAATAGGTGGGGCTGGCAGGCAGAAGGGATAAAGATGAGGAGGAATCTAGAAGAAAGGGATCTGAGAATCAGGGAACAAGAGAGGAAGGAGGAGGACTTCAGGGGCCAGCCACCCAGACACAGAGTAAAAAGGAAAGTAAAGTTGTACAGGAATAGTGAAAGATAAAATCAAAGCTATGAAGCTAAAGATAGATGGGATAATTTAAGTTAAGAAAAGCTGAAAAGAAACAAATCAAGTTCAGGTCAGGCACTCATAACTAAGAATAAGCCTCTATGTGTGATTATTTGGGAGTTGTGTGGCTGGCTCCCTCAAAAGTCCAAAAAAGCCAAAGAGTAAATAGCAAAAATATCCCTCTATATTGCAGTGCTGTAAAGTGGGACAAGAGTAAACGAAAATTGCATAACAATGGTTGCTGGAGTCTCAGAACTCTTTCTTGCCTCACAATGCAGTCTGAAGAGGCAGTGGGATCTCTGTTCTCTCCTGATATCACATTATGATCTAGGCTAGAGTCTTGGTGCTCTTCTGATGTCATGGATTGATTTGTGATGTGGGCTAGAATCTCACTGTGTTCGTTGACTTCACATCTTGGTTGAAGGCTGGCATCTCAGGGCTATTCCTGAGATTATTCTACGATAAGGATGAAATATTGGTGTTGAGGTTGACCTCCCTAGATTAATCTACCTTGGGAAGTTTATTTTTCCAAGTTCTTTCTTCACTTCTATTTCTTATCAATGGTTGACCAAATTGGGATGTTTCATAATATTCACAGTAATCATTTTGTTTTGTGAACAAATGTCCTTCAGTTAATGTGGCATACTTACATCCTAATCAATTATTTGGTTACATTGAAGTATAGTCACTGAATAATGGAGGATAGATGCTTCATTCTTTCTCCTTAGAAGTTGAAGTAAATAAATTAATCCTGAAAAATCATCAATGAGTTAATTTGTGTACCTGGAAAATAGGAGTTTATTTTAGCCTCATGCCTGTATATGTTCCCTAGCATTTGTTCTTTAACAAAAATGTATTTTTTTATTAGAAAACAACTCTCCTCAAGACCCAGCAATACTCCTTTTGGGTATATATCCAAAGGATGCTCAACCATGCCACAAGGACATGGGCTCAGCTATGTTCATAGCAGCATTGTCATAGCCAGAATCTGGAAACAACTTAAATGCCCCTCGACCACATATGGATAAGGAAATTGTGGTACGTTTAGAAAATGGAGTACTACACAGCAGAAAAAATAATGACATCTTGAAATTTGCAGGCAAATGGATGGAACTAAAAATCGGCAATTTGAGTGAGGTAACCCAGACCCAGAAAGACAATTATCATATGTACTCACTCATAACTGTTTTTTAAACATAAAACAAAGAAAAGCAGCCTACAAATAACAATCCAGAAAACCTAGACAACAATGAGGACTCTAAGAGAAACACACATAGATCTAATCTACATGGGAAGTAGAAATAGATAAGATCTCCTGAGTAAACTGGGAGCATAGGGACCTTGGGAGAAGGCTGAAGAAGAGGGAAGAGGCAGGGAGGGGAGCAGAGAAAAATGTAGAGCTCAATAAAAATTAATAAAAATTAATTTTTAATTATTGATTTATTTTATTTTGTTTTTTTATTTACAATTCTTTTCTCCTAACAAAGGATTTTTGTCCATTATAAGCTATACAATTTACAAAGAACTTCTCCCAGTTTATTTCCTGTCTTTTCATACATATCATACATGCTTCTCTGCTCATTCTCACACTGTTTTCTTTTATTGATTGGTTAGTCGTAGTGCTTGTTTGTCTGTTTGTTTCATTGCTGTTACTGTTGGTTTGTCTTTGTTTCCTTGATTCTATTTTGTATGTTTGTTTGTTATAATTTACATTTAGTTTTGTGCTCTTTGCTGATAAATTTTCATATACTAGCCTTTGCTCTTTGTTCATACATTAAAAAAGCAACATTTGCTAATTAGTCATTGAAAACGTAGCCTTGATAACTTCAATTTTTTTTTGATGAGAAAGTAAATTTTATTAAATTATAAAAGTTTCCATTTCCGCCCCTCTTCCCAACACCCTCCCACTCCCCCCACTCCCTCTCCTCCTCCCTCTTCGTCCCTTAGGGCAGTCAGGGTCTCCTGCCCTGTGGGAAGTTCCAGTTCCTCCCCCCTCCCTCCAGGTCCAGGAAGGTGAGTGTCCAAACAAACTGGATCCGCAAAATCCAGTATATGCAGAGGAAACAGGTCCCAGTATCATAGTCAATGGCTTTTCAGAAAGACTTCGGGCCAGCCACATTCAGAGAATCCGGCCAAATTCCGAGAATCTGGTAAGATCACCTCCTCGTTCAGTCCCAGTCCAACTGGCCTTGGTAAACTCTCATTAGATCCCTTCCCTTGTATCAGTGGGTGATAGCATCCCTTGCAGTACTGATTTTGTTTTTCATGTTCTTCCTCCTTCTGCTCCTCATTTGGACCTAGGGGGCTCAGACCGGTGCTCCAATGTGGGTCTCCAACTGTATCGCCGTCCTTCGCCAGATGAAGGATCTATGGTGATAAGCAAAATATACATCAGTATGGTTATGGGCCACGGCCGATTCAGGCACCCTCTCCTCTGTCCAGAGAACAATCTGGGGGATCTCTCCTTGGACCTGGGATCCCATATATAATCAAGTCTCCTGTAAACCCTAAAATGACTCCCTTAGTTGAAATATATTCTTCCCTGATCCCATATTCATCCTTCCTCCCTCCCCCCCC